CCCGCTGACGCACTACCACGTGTCACTGGCCTTTGATCGTCATGCTCTGAGTCTCGGGGAGGCGACGGTCGCCTGTCCCTCTTGGCGTACCGCATGTCCTCCGAGTCCTCTGAGCTGTCCTGGACCATGAACACGTTTTGATACGGGCTTCTGAAGTATCCGATGTCATTTAACTGCTCCATCGAGAGGTCGTTAATGTTCATTTGATCGCAACCTTGCATGAATACATCCATAGACCAAGCGGGTGGCCCCGCTGTTGTGTCTAGCATCTCTTCGGCGGGTGACCCCGCTAGAGCTTGGAGTGCTTTAAGCATCTGAGATGCTGACATGTTCGAATCCAAGTATGGACGTAGACGGGCAACTCCTGGGTGTGACAGCAGTTCGTTCATCGTCATCTGCTGCTGTGCTGGCGCACTCAAGAGTCGGATTGCTTCTGAAACCTGCTCCTGGAGCATGTCGTTATAATCTTCTTCGGATTCTTCGGAGTCGGAATCCGCGGGATGGCCCCGCATTTCGTCATCGGCGTCTCCCATCTCCGAGCCAGCCCACGACGGATTTGGCAGCAACGGCATGCCAATCACTTGTGGGGCCAGCGCGGCGGTGAGTTCTTCCTCTGTTGCCGGGACAGTCTCGGCTTCGGAGACCTCGTCACCGGCGGGTGGCCCCGCTGGAAGACCGAACCAAGCATTGTACGCAATCTCATCGACCTCGTCCCAGCCGTGGAACTCGTCGAAGAGGGTCACTGCGTAGTCTTCCAGGGCCACGGTTGCTTCAGCATAGCGGGCCATCACGTAATGCGTGGAGGAGCCCGCAGCGGGAGCCGCTTCCGGATTGACGTAAAACTCGTAGTCAATGTAATCTATGTCATCCATAAAAGAATTTTGAGCCAAGTGTACGGATCCCTTTCCTTTCCCCTTCGGGCATTGATCGCGCAAATGCTCTGTGCTACCGCATGTATGACACTTCATAGTATTACCAGAAGCGTCCCTAGGGTTGCCCCTCCGCCCCTTTCCCTTACCGGAGGTCCGCCTGTGACCCCGACCTTTGCCTCCGATAAGAACTTCTTCAAAAGCCATATCAGTTAAGGACGTGAGGAAAGCAGTAATACCCCTACCATGCATACGGCGTCTGCGACCCCCTTTACCACGACCCTTTCCAAATTGTTTGAAATGTCGGCGTACTGCACGTCTCACCTTTCTGACTGGTTTCTTCATAAAGCGCCTCCAACGGCGTTTTGATTTGCGATAAGCCATAAAGGCGGCTTCCGCCCTTTGCTGTTCAGAAAGGTGAGTGTCGTCCGCTGGATAGTCATTACCAGCAGAGACTATTCCATTGTGCTCATCGTCAGATGAAGTATCTGTGTCAGTGCCAGATTCAAACGGTGAGGGTGGCTGAGACCATTGAGCGGATGACTCCGCTTGGCCCCAGAGGGTTGTGCCCGAGGGCGGGCTTGCAGTGTAGGCGGCGCCTGGCGAGTAGTTCGACCAGGCGTTTGCCTCAGCTGCCTCTGCCGATACCTGGCCGGTCTGCCCTAGAAGGGCAGTGGCCTCGTTGGGCATATCGGCTGGGTCAGCCCAGGGATTTGGCTCGCCAGGACCAGCGGGTGACCCCGCAGTCGTGGCGTAAACACCTGCATGTGAGTGGTGCCCTGTGAAGATACCCGCTATGTTACCAGGAGAGCGCTCGGCAACATGTCCGTAGTTCCTCATCCTGGTCAACAGCCTGTCATAGTCTGCTTGTGTTCGGGGCATCTGATGATTGAAGGGCTCAAGCAGGTGTTGGGCTCGTGACGCGCCAACGCCTAACGCTCTGAAGAGAATCAGCGTTAGGATCTGAAAGTTGGGGATGACAAAGCCAACAGAGTTAGCCTCGTCACGGGCCATCTCGAATCGAGCTAATACTGAGTCGATTCGCTCGCCCCTTTCGACGCGGAAGTCGATAAGGGCCGTGCCAGAGTTGAGCTGGCGCTCATCTTCCAGATTTTCAAATTTGGTGCTCAGTAAGTACAGTATGTAGGTTACTGCATCCGTTGGCTGTCCATTGACAGTTACACCATAATTGATGATCTGGGAGGGGACCTGCATGGCGATACGACGAGCCAGACCTTGAAGGCCTCGTTGTAGTGCTGCAGCTTGTTGTGGTGGTGTCATATTGCCGCTCGTTACGTTTAACCATGCATGTACTTCGCGAACATATTCGCGAAAAGGCGTAGTACCGGCAGGGTCCCATGAAGGGCCAGTAGTACGCGTGTCGTCCATCCCCTGCCGCATGTATCCCACAGCACATCCCATTATTACCCACAGAATGCCGAAGATAGTTATTTTGATCCAATGCATGTGCATTTCGGCTTCGGTGATTGGTTTGGGCTGTGGTTTGTCAGGCTCTGGCGTGGTAGCCGTGAGGCGCCTGACCGGCACGGGATGCAGGTGGCCCCGCTGCGGGTAGCCCCGCAGGGTGACCACGTTCTCGATCGAGTTGCCGATTGGCATCTGGTGGAAGTCGGGAGTGAAGTAGCGCAGTGAAGTAGGAGAGAGCGTCTCGAGTTCGCGGGTTGCCCCGCTAGCTCGATCGCGGACTGGCTCCGCTCCTCGCAGAGCCGGCGCAACATGGTATTCCACCGTAGTAGTAGTCCACCAAGTTGTGCCGTGGATTACAGGAATCAGAGCGAGAGCCAGCCACACGAGAGTGTAGCCAGCTCCGCTACCAAGTCGAAAACAAGCTGGTAAGCTTAGGTATACAGTCCGCCTTAGGCGCTTCCATATCCCAGGCTTAGGCTCATAGCGCATGAGCAAGAGAGCGAGACGAAGCATGGGATCTGGAGTAAAGAGTAGGATGGGCATCGTCAATGGAAAAGGATGTTTTCCGATCTCGGATGCAAGTAGTGCGCCTCAGTGAGGCACAGTCACATATCTGGCCGGGCCCGGCTTGAGCCAGGCACGGCAGCGGTACATGCTCGATTTATATCTCGCCTTTAACCTTCTCCGTTTAAAGTCAACAGGCCCCAAGAGAGTCCAAGATGGCCCCAACATGGTCTCCAAGACGGTCCCAAGATGGCCCAATCGAGCCCAAGAGTGCCTCAAGAGGCTCCGAAGAGGCATCCTCCCCCTTCTCTTTTTTCCTTCTTCTCCTCCTCTTCCTCTTCCTCCCCCCCGCGTTTCCCGAAACCTTTCCAAACAGCCTCGGGGAACACATGGTCCGATAGCTTGGCCAAGCTCTAGCCCAGCTGTCGGACACATAGGCGCTTCCACAAGGGCAGGGGGCGGCGGTGATTCGCCGAAGGCGTCCTCGATCCGCCGCCCCCTGTTGATTCATCACAGGGGTGCCTGGCGTGCTGAATCCTTTCGCTTTTGGTTTTGGTTCTTTTCCCCAAAGAACTCTCCCTGGGGCTTCGGCCCGTCCCGCCGGCCACCCGAAAAGGACCTCAACAACCGTAACAAATCCTCCAAGACGGCTCCAGATGGCCCCCAAGATGGCCACGTTGGCCCAAGATGGCCTCCAAGATGGCCTCCAAGTCCGCCAAAGATGGTCCGAGATGGCCTCCAAGACGGCCCGAGAGAGTCCACGATGCCTGCAAGTTCGTCGAAGAAGCCTCCAGGACGGCCCTAGATGGCTCCAAGATGGCCTAAGACTGGCCAAGAGGCCTCCAAGCGGCCTCCAAGACGTCCTCCAGGAACGCCCGAAAGGGCAATTTGCCTGACGTGTTTGAAGGATTTGGGCATTTTCTTCTTATCAGCTCTCCGACGGCCCAAGACGGCCCAAGAGGCCCCGAACATCGTCCCAATAGCGCTCAAGAGGCCTCCAAGATGGCCCCATGACAGCCCAAGAGGCCCCCAAGAGGGCCCCAAGAAGGCCCCAAGACGGCCCAAGATGGCCCCCAAGACGCCGAAGATGGCCTCCAAGACGGCCAAGGTGGCCTCCAATATGCCTCCAAGACGGCCAAGAAGGCCTCCAAGACAGCGAAGATAGTCCCAAGATGCACCCAAGACGGCCCCAGTTAGCCTCAAGATGGCCTTAGACTGCCCAAAAGGCCCGCAAGAGGCCTCCAAGACGGCCCAAGAGCCCTCCAAGACGTCCTCCAGGAAGGTCCGAAAGCTCGGAAACCACCTGGTCCGATAGCTTGTCCGACTCCGTGTTCCCCGAAAGCGTTCGAAACCCACTCGGGGAACGCGTGGCCCGATAGCTTGGCCAAGTCCAAACCCAACTTTCGGCCACGCAGGCGCTTCCAAAAAGGCAGGGGGCGGCGGTGATTCGCCGTAGGCGTCTTCGATACAACGCAAACGTCTCAATATGCGCTGATGATTCCTATCCGCCACCGCATGAAGTTCCCAGGAGCGCCCAGGCAGCGCCGCAACGCACCGGCGCGACTCTGATATATCCCATTCTGATAGAGAGGGGGCCGGCGGCAGGGGGCGAAGCCATTACGGATAACTAGCGGTGACGAAATGTCAAGCGATACGCCACAGCCCGCCCTAAAGACACGCCAGTGCTGCGAGGAGGAGTGAGGAGGGGGAGGACGAGAAGGAGGAGGAGGAGGAGGAGGAGGAGCATGAGGAGGAGGAAGTGAAGAAGGAACATGGAGGCGAGATGAAATGGGATGCGATGAAGAGAAGTAGATCGAGGACAGCGACTAGCGAGATAGGAGGGATGAAATGAAGGCCGCGAAGGAGGAGGAGGAGGAGAAGGAGCAGCAGCAGCAGCATCAGCAGCAGCAGCAGGAGCAGATGTAGGAGCAGGAAGGGGGAGGACACGGAGCAGAACGCAGAAGAGAAAAATCCCCTGCCCCCTCTCCGCCCCGCACGTGTGCCTCCCTGTCCCCCCTCCCCTGCTACTCCTTGGGGCCGCCCCCCCTCTCGCGCTCGCCCTCGCCCTTGCCCCCTCCCTCCCACTCCCCCGCCCCCCCGCTCCCCGCTCTCTGCCTCTCCCCTCCTCCCCCTCCTCCTGCTCCTCCTCCTGCTGCTGCCCCCCTGCACCCTCTGCGCCCCCTCGCCCCTCCAGGGCACCAGGGCCAGCTCGTTGGACGAGGCGCCCCGGCGGGCCCGGGACTCGGTAAGCTTCACCTCGTCGGACCTGCCAGGGGGGGCGCGCGTGGCCGCTGGAGGGGTTGCAACGTGTCGTCGCCACCTCCTCCTCCTCCTCCTCCTCCTCCTCCTCCTCCTCTCCTCCTCCCTCTCCTCCTCTCCTCCTTCTCCTCCATCCTACTCCTCCTCCTCCTCCTCCTCCTCTCCTCCTCCTCAGGAAGCTCCTCCTCTCCCTCCTCCTCCTCCTCCCC